AAAGCCTCACGGGCATCCTACTTCCTCTTGAATGGAGGTAGCTGCTGAATATGATGCTATGGAAGCGAAGCAAATTTGTAGGCGTCTAAAACAAGAACTTTGGGGGGGGGGGCTTGCTAGTCGTCTTGTGGAATAATATCTCTTCGCCCATTGGCTTTTCGGGGCCCAAATAACAAGCAGGCCATTTAGTATTTTTCGTAGCTTTGCTTCATACGCACTTTTTTGATTCATTAAAAGAAGGCATTTGTATAGTGCTGCTCTATATGTGTGCGCAAGTCGAGCATTTAAAGCGTCGTACCTTCCTCAGTGCGAGGTATAGGTAAGGATCGTTTTATCACTGGGTTGTACATTCAGTAGATATGAGGCTTTTAGACGGGATAGCAGTTGCTCTAGGTTACCAACTGGCGGCCAGTTCCGTCCAGTTTGCTACTCAGTGTGGGAGGCAAGTTTACTTGTTTATTTGCGCAATGATTCTCAGCGTAATCAGTCCATGCACTACTTGTCGTAATCAGAATGGATAGCACCGCGAGATTCAGACCCTAGAATAGGGCTTTATTCATCTTACAATTTGCGTATTAGAAATGAAAAGGAGAAAGAGAATGACCAGAGTAATACAGGCAGTTGGTGAACGTTCGTCAGAGGGCAGGGGTGAACGCTCGTCAACGAGGGTCAGAGCAGTGTTAGCATGAAGATTACGGTGAGAATAAACTTACGTTGCGTCCACCGCACTCTCCTCCCACCATTTCACCCGAATTCAGTGTCATGAGCAGATCAAAAAGACCAAAGGCGGGAGAGGGCGCAGGCGGCTGGCGCCTGCGAAGCCGCACATAAACATGTCGTCACACTACGAGGCGTTCCTCAGTGGACCTTATTTTCCATCCTCAGCAGCAATTTCGGCTCGGCTGACCGGATGGCGTGCGCCCAATGCATTTGCATTTGCACCTACACGTGAACTCGCCGTTTTTATTTGTCCATCACGTTTGGCCGCTGTACAATGATCTTAAGCACCAATACAAGCGAACATTAGTGTCCCAGGAAGCAATTGAGAAGACGAAGACTCGATCGCTGGAACAATATGTTTATTCGCCTGACGTTT